TCTGCCGTGGTGCATGTCGACGTTCGCCAACACCTCGCTATGAGCGGGTGTCATAGCTCCGAGGTTCGGGACGTGGCAGTGATGCTGGCTGTAGAAGTAGTCGCACTCCAAGCCATCCGATACCGCTTGGGCCGCAACCTGCAAGACCTCGTGCTTGAGAACCGATGCGGGTATCGTGACTTTGTGGTTGCCGGTGTCGGGTCCCGAATACCGCACCTTGAAATTCTCGTGACCACCCATCTCGCACATGTCTACCACCAGGCTATGAAGACCTGGTTCAAGGAACTTATCATGGCTCGATCTCTCCTGTTCACCGTGGCAGCCGTTGTTGTCGACGATCCTCTCGCCGTTCAAGAACAAGAAGGAGCCGTCGTCCGATGCAGTGTAGAACCTGTAGTTGCCTGACTGCGTTGTGCTCACATAGCCGCTGCACCTGATGCAGAAGTGGTCGGTATGCCTTAGATGAGGGAATCTGCCGTGGTGCATGTCGACGTTCGGCAACACCTCGCTATGAGCGGGTGTCATAGCTCCGAGGTTCGGGACGTGGCAGTGATGCTGGCTGTAGAAGTAGTCGCACTCCAAGCCATCCGATATCTGCATGGGCTCGTGCTTGAGAACCGTCGAGGGTATCGTGACTTTGTGGTTGCCGGTGTCGGGTCCCGAATACCGCACCTTGAAATTCTCGTGACCACCCAACTCGCACATGTCTACCACCAGGCTATGAAGACCTGGTCCAAGGAACTTATCATGGCTCGATCTCTCCTGTTCACCGTGGCAGCCGTTGTTGTCGACGATCCTCTCGCCGTTCAAGAACAAGAAGGAGCCGTCGTCCGACGCAGTGTAGAACCTGTAGTTGCCTGACTGCGTTGTGCTCACATAGCCGCTGCACCTGATGCAGAAGTGGTCGGTCTGCCTTAGATGAGGGAATCTGCCGTGGTGCATGTCGACGTTCGGCAAGACCTGGCTATGAGCGGGTGTCATATCTCCGAGGTTCGGGACGTGGCAGTGATGCCAGTTGTAGAAGTAGTCGCACCTCAAGCCTTCTCCCAAGCCCTTGCGGTGGTGTTTCAGCGCCGATGCAGGAATGACAGGCGCGTGGTGATTGGTATCTGGTCCCTCGTAATGCAGACGGAAGGATTCGGCACCACCTGCATCGCACATCTCGAAGACCAGCTCTTGGGCACCCGCTGAAAAGAACGTGGCAACGCTAGTCCTCCACTGTTCGCCATGGCAGCCGTTGTTATCGACGAGCATCTGGCCGTTCACGTACAAGAGCGAGCCGTCAGACGAGCCGGTGTGGAACTTGTAGTTGCCAGCTTCCTTTATGCTCACGTACCCCTTGCATCGGAGACAGAAGTTGTCCGCTGCCCGAACATGGGGGAATCTGCCGTTGTGCATGTCGATATTCGGCAAGACTGCACTGTGCTCAGGGGTCAGAGACGCGAGGTCAGGTACCTGGCACTGAGCCTGGCCGTAGAAGTAGTCGCACTCCACGCCAGGTGCCATTTCGGAGTCAGGTGGTATCGGCACCAGAGTGGTGGTGGTTATGGTGGTTGTGGTTGTACTGGTGATGGTAACAGTTGAAGTAGTGACAGTTGAAGTTGTTGTTGTGGTCGTCGTCGAGGTGGTCGTTGTCGCGGTTGTTGTTGATGTGGTGGTCGTTGTCGAGGTGCTCGTTGTCGAGGTGCTCGTTGACGTGGTAGTCGTTGTCGTGGTGCTCGTTGACGTGGTGCTCGTTGACGTGGTTGTCGTTGTCGTGGTGCTCGTTGACGTGGTGGTTGTTGTCGTGGTGCTTGTTGACGTCGTGGTTGTTGTCGTGGTGGTCGTAGTTGATGTTGTGGTAGTGGTGGTTGTGTAGCAAGCAGCACCCATGGTCAGGCATCTTCCGTCCACCCAGGCGCACTGCATGTAACTATCACCATCTTTCACGAAATAGCTTTCGCAATCCGGTTCCTCCAGATGCGAGCAGGAGCTGCCCTCCACGGGGCTTCCTTGGCATATCACAGAGGGCTCTTGAGCCTGAACAGGGCGCTGCCTGCCCGAGCTGACCGGAGGCGAGTTGACGTCGAAGGACCAGCCTTCCTTGTCATCCTCCGCTTTGTTCTCCTTAGCCTTGCGCTGTGTCTCTAGGACATCCCCTCGCGAGAAGTCCTTCAGTGCGGCTATGGCCCGAGTTCGACTCTGCAAAGACACGAGCTCATCTGGCATCGCCATGAGGATTAAAGCAAACTGGTCCACGATGTTCACCAGGGGGATGACCTGCTCAGGGCTCTGATAGGGTCCAAAGCCCATCTGCAATCCAAGCTGAAGCCAGTTCCCCGACAGCAGGCCCTTGACTTCGAAATTCACGGTGCCGGAGTTTTTGAAGCTAAAGAGCTTGAATGTCTCCTCTCTCTCCTCGCTTGCGCGGAGCAACTCCTCGGCCGCCGTTCCCTGCGATTCCGACGTGGTGTTGACGCCCAGGTCCAGGCCATAGTCGACAGAGGCCACGTAGAAATCCGCGTCTTCCGACTTCCAGTACAGCGACTTCTCCTTCTTTGCACCGCCACCGCGGCCGCGGATGCTGCGGTTGCCTTCCAGGAGAGAGGCCGATCGCTTCATGGAGGATATGCCGGTTCCACTCTCCGCATCTGCTGCCTCAGACACGGAGAAGTAGGTCTGTGCCGTTTGGTGGCCTCCGTTGATGTTGGCCGAAGTGAAGTCGGTGTCTTCCCCGAAGCGCTTGGTCAGGCGCAGTGTCCGGCTGAAGAGGAGGATGCCGTTGGACTTGATCTCGGATCGCAGGACGCTCAGGTCGAGGCCACCCGGCTGAGTCTTGGGCCAGCAGACTTGGGTATTCACTTCGGCCAGGGGCCCCGGTAGCAAACTGAACTGGATGCCGCCAACGAAAGCAACTACGGGCTGCATGTCCAGACCGAAACTCACCGTGACACACCTCTCGATCTGCATGTCCGAGGTATAGAAGGAATAGCCTTGCCACTTCTTCCAGTTGTCCTTCATCCAGGTGTTTGTGCAGGGAACTGCCCAAGGCTCCAGCTTCACAAAGTCGTCCTTGCTTGCCGCCTGCCAGTCCTGTTGAGTCGCCTGGTTGTTGCTCCCGGTCTTGTTCCTGGGTGCGAAGGCCAAGCAGGAACCAGTCGAAGTCTCTCGGCCATCGAACTGAGTGACCAACTCGCGGATTTCGGGCCCGTGGTCGTCAAGGCTCCAACCTACCGTGGCCGGAGGCTCTTCGTCGTCACCCAGCTCCTGCAAGAGAGCGGCGTTTCTGGGGGCCTTCTGCGAGTGCTTTCTGATCACGAAGTTGGGCGTCTGATGATGCAGCACGGCCGGGGCACCAGCTTTTGGGAAGTCGGTGGAAAAGGCTTCCTGTAGCAGCGACTGGCCGCCCTTCATGGCTTGGGTGGCCACGGCCGAGGCTACCTTGGCAAAGGTGCCGACGAACTCGGCGAAAATGTCCCCCAAACGGTTCAAGAAGTTCAGGGGAGGAACGCTCGAGATGATCCTGAAGCCGAGGCACTGGACGAGCTCCTCTTGCGAGTTCGGATTCTCACACTTCGCGAGCTCGTTGCCCATTGTGAGCACGGTCTTCACGGAACTGCCTTCCCCACCCGCCAGAAGCTGCACCGGCTGGGGCATGAGATCCAAAATGCTACCATGGGCGACTTTCTTCAACGGGTCGGGCAGGAAGTCCAGTGGGGGACTGAACTTCGCAAGTGAGCTGGCAAGGCACTTCGACACCGTGATGTGGTTGAGATGGCTACGGCAGGTGTGAGTCAACTCCCAGCCGAGGTGAAACAGAATTTTCAGTTGATCAGGTAGAAGGTCCATGACTTTGCCATCAGCAACTTTCCTCACCTTATCCCCAAGAAGATCAAAGACTTTGCCATCAGCAACTGTCTTCAACTCATTGGGCAGAAGATCCAAGACCTTGCCATGACCAACTTTCTTCAAGGGATCGGGTAGGAGATCGAAGACTTTGCCATCAGCAACTTTCTTCAACGGGTCGGGCAGGAAATCCACTGGCGAACTGTACCTCCCAAGTCCGCTGGCAAGGCACCTGATTATTGTCTCGTGGTTGTGATGGCCATGGCAATTGCCAGCCAACCACCAGCCCACATGCTCGAGAATTCTCACTTCATTGGGCAGGAGATCGCTGGGGTACTTCCTGAGTGATTTGGCAAGGCACTTGGTCACCTCGATGTGGTTGTGATTGCCGTGGCAGCTGAGACCCAACTCCCAGCCCACGTGATAAAGAATATGCATTTGACGGGGCATAAGGTCAAAGGCTTTGCCATCGGCCACTTTCTTCACCATATCGGGCAGAAGATCCCCTGGATACTTCCTGAGTGATCTGGCAAGGCACTTGGTCACCTCGACGTGGTTGTGATGGCCGTGGCAGCTGCTTGTGAGCTCCCAGCCCACGTGGAAAAGCAACTGAAACTGCTTCGGCAAACCAATTCGGTGCTCGCCGAAGTCGAGTCCGAACCTCTTTTCTTCAAGAACCGGGTCCAAAGAGTTCAAGATTTTTTAAGACGGTCAAATATATGAGGCAAACAAGTTTAAAGTTCTCCCATGGGCTATCTAAGGAACAGGCCAGTCGATTGACCCATCAACTTGATCTCACACCTGACCTTCCCAAAGTAGATCTTGAGCTCATGCGAATTGAAGGTGCGGATCCCTGGCTTATGATCTTCGCATCTGCCCCCGAAATCGCTGAAGCCTTGGCTCAGAATCTCGATGGCCTTCAGCAGCAAGGAGAGCTTGAGGTTTAGAGGAGAGTTTAAAGTTCAGGTGGAGGGCCTCGGGTTCAGGGTCTAGGGGTTTAGGGTTTGGGATTGAGGGGTTTCGGGGTTAAGGTTTCGGGCTTAAGCCTGAACATGTGGGGGGCCTGCTCCACGGTCGAGATCGTGTTGTCCCTCAACCATGCGGCCTCAGGGCGCTGCACTGCACTGCACCAGACAGTCAACAGCGGCTGAGCAAAGTTTGGCAAAAGTTGTGTGGAGAGATCCGACACCCTGCCTTGTCTCCGGCCTTTTTGAATCCATCCACCAAGGCGCCACCTGCCTTCTCTCCCCAATCCTTGAGAGGGCCCAACCTTCTGCTCCGGCGCTTCAACGAAGCCTCAGCTAGCAGAAAACACAAGGGAAACGGGAGCACAGCAAAGCCAACACTCGAACAGCTGGCAACAGAAGCAAAAACAGCCAGTGGGACCAGTCGCAGAGTCGCGATCGGATGACGAGGCTGCGGAAGCAGTCTCCTGTTCGCGATGAAGGATGCCTGAGCTGTCCCAAAGAGAGTCACCTCTTCAAACCTTCAGGTTTCCAGCCAAGCCACCTTTCTCTCGCTGACGATGGTGTTTGAGAAACACGCTCTTGACGATTTCCTGGGCTTCCTTCAACCGCGTTTGTGCATCTTCTTCCTCAGTCTCGAGCAGGGCCTCACCCTCTGGGGACTCGTGGTTGCCGATTTGGGCCTTGAGAGAATCGATCTCCTTTTGCTGCAAGTCGATCTTCTTTTGCTGCCTGTTTGCCTGGGCCTGCTGCATCTCAGCAATCGCCTCGAGCTGTGCGACCTTCACGAGAAGGAACTCCAAGTTCTTGGCGAGGCCAAGTCCCTCCGTAGAATCACTTTGGTTCTCCATCGTCGGGTTTGAGATGTTGTTGATGTCCTCCATGTCCCGTTCCAAGCGGTCAGAAACGGCTTCCTCCACAGCCTGCCGGATGGTCGCGTTCTCCTCGGAACCTGCCAACGGGATCGGGGCCTCCGACAGCTTGAAGGACAAGCCTTGTTGGCCGCAAGTTAAAACCGCAGCCAAGATCGCAAGGGCTCTACATGAGCCCAGGGCTCTCAAAGAGCCAAGCTTCGTTGATGTGAGCATCCGAACAAATCTCGAAAGCTCGACCGGGATTGCTACATAGTAAAACGGCTACTAAAGCTGAAAATCTCGATGCAACACGGCCGCACGAGCACAACGCAATTCAATGCCAGCTCACAAGACCATGTTGTGGAACGCCGTGGGGGCAGCAGCAAAGGAATTGCCGTTCTCACTCCTGCCTCCCATGTAGGGGCCTTGAGAATTAGATTGGGGTTTGGGGGTATATACTATAACTAGAATACAGAGCCCCCACAACCATATTCTAAGTAATAAGGCCCCTATATTGCTTACCGAAGGCAACTGCGTCTGACCAACTCCTTTCTGCACGGAGGCCCTCGCTCTTGTATACAACTTTTCCAGCCCGCACTGCGGTAGTGCCTTCTGTCAGACTGATCGGTTGATAACACAGAAACTAAATAAAATATTCATAATAAACATACAATATACTATAATATAATGTAAAAAAAAAATATATATATATACACACGTCAAGTCCTTCTCTCTCTTCTCGGGCTGCAGAGACCGTTGACAAAAGTTCCGACGAATACTTAGAACAATTTCCGAAACTACGTGTGTAGAATACGCTCGAACAACCAATCGCTTGAGTCTTCCACATTGGGATCTAGTTGCATGTCTGATAATGCATTGAAGTATAATGCACGAGGGACGACCAGTGCCTTGCAAGTCCTAGGGTTTTCGCGCTGCTCCGTGTAAGGTCCTCTGTCGTATTTTGAGCTCATGCTCACCGCGGCATTCGCGGTGCACTCCTTTGCAATCTCTCAGCACATCCCCTCTACTCTGCCTGAGTAAATTTGGATTGTGTAGGCAATATTGCCTACAAGCAGTGCAAACAAATCGAAACAACGAGACTGTCTCGTTGAACTAATTAGACTTTGTCTTGCGAATTTGGAGTCAGGCCCAACGAGCGAGAGAACCCGAACTCGACTGCACATGACGAAGCGTTGCACCTACCAATGCAGTTCCCCCTTGCCATTGTCGGCAAAGTGTCCGATGTCAAAAGCATCAGGTGGAAATTATTCGCAGCCATGTGGGCGCTTACTCACAACCGGGACTCGTGGCTGGCTTCCGAGGCATCTTCAAAGCCTCACAGGCACACTACTCGAGTAGTAGCTGCTAGTAGCACATTTGTAGAAGCGCAATGTTCTGCATTTGCCTCCTCCAGCAATTTCACCATGTCGGGTGAGCCCTCCGAAACGAAACAACAACTTCAAATCAGCTGCATGACCAACACCTGGAGACTACTGCACCACTTAGTGCTCAAGGACGACCATGCAGACGTAAATCCACGAAGCATGCTAGCCAAAACTTGCTCGCATGTTGGTACACCCAATGGCAAAGGTACGGGCGGCAAATGACCTGTGTGAACATGTCTTTAATAACGAGCGTTCCATAGGCCTCTTGCAGGATGTGCAGAATGACGTGACTCAGGCCCTGCTCGCCTGCCCATTGGAGCCACTACTTCAGGATTTCTTCGGTGCAGTGGCCAAAGAAACTATATTGCCTGGAGCATGCCTCAGCTGAGAGCCCTGCGAATGTGTATCTTCTCCACCCAGCGCTTTACACGATGCATCCAGCCTCGTATCCGGCATTCGAGCCCGACGCAAACTGAAGTTGCCCGTTGCGCTTCTATAGCCCTGGACGTTGTATGGGGTGTGGCGTGTCATTGATTGCAGGTGGCCTCTTATCTAAGAACCAAGCCTTGATGATTTTGCAGGACCAAGCCTGGCGATCTGGCAAGCTTTAAACCGGGCAGATTACCCCCCAGCTCAGCCTTGCTCCTTCTGAAATTTATCCAGCGATGATGAAAGCCAACGGTCCATCTCCTGCAATTCACAACATAGCATTGAAAGAGCAGTTTCTACACCTAGACGGACAAGCGATGATTGCTCTCATGTGTACATCCAGCTTGAGAGACTGTGCCCTGGGTCGACATCAGACACCACAACAAAGGAATCGAAGCATGCCAAGCGGATCCGTTGGTCGGGTGAACTAACTTCTCTACATATCGCAACATCAGCCTCTGTGCTCCCACCCAGCCACGCACCCACGCACCCACCCACCCATCCACCCACCCACCCACGCACGCACCCGCACGCGCGCATGCGTACATATAACTTGTACATACATAATTATATAATATAAGAAAGATACCTCTAGGGTCTATTAAACCATGTGTTTCTGTTATTATATAGTTATAAAGCTGAAATAATGAAAATAAGTAAAATCAGCTGATTTAAACTATTTTAATTCTCAGCTCCCCCAAATAAATAAAATAATTGAAATCACCCTATTTGAATTATATTAATTATCTTAGGGTCTAAATAATTAAAATAGTGATTTAAAATATAAGAGACATCTCATCCCAGGGATTCTAAATAACCAAAAAATAACAGTTAATTAAGCTCAGCTGATGTAGATTGTTTTAATTATTCACTCGACTTTTTCTATCTTAATTACTTAAAGGCACCAAATAATTACAATATAGAACAATGATTTAATATATCCATCCCAGGGGTTTTAACTTATTAAAATGTTTAAGATCAGCTGATTCAAACTGTTTGATTACTTTAATTCTCAGCCCCCCAAATAATTGGAATAAGTAAAATCACCTTATTTTAATGATTTAAAATCTCCGGGGTCAGGATCCCCTGGCTTAGACAAGGAATTATTGTAACTAATTTAAGTATCTAAGGGCCCCAATAAGTAAAATAATTAAAATACTTATCTAGTCTATAAGTTGCCCATCCCAGGGATTGAACATACTTATGTATTTTCTACATTCTTAAAACCCTTAGAATCAGGATCCGCTGGCTTAGGCAAGGGATTTTTTTGATTGTTTTGATTCTCAACCCTCCCAAACAATCAAACTAGTTGAAACACTTATCGAACATATAACAAGTAGCCCATCCCGGTGATTCTGAAAATTCAACCAATTAGAACCAGTTGATTTAAGTTATTCCAATTGTTTGAATTCTCAGCCCCCCCCCCCCCAGTAAGTCAAATAATTGAAATCACCCGATTTTGGTTATTTCAACTGTTTGTCATCCCTGGGATCAGGATCCCCTGGCCAAGACCAGGGGTTATCTTAATTATCTTAATTATTTGAGGGCCCCAGCAATTAAAATAAACAAATAATTAAAAACTGATGATTTTATCTATGTTAAACATTTGGGGGGGGCTGAGAACTTAAATATTCAAAGTCAGGTGATTTTGCAAAATCCCGCCAACCTGTACCCCCACCCCCAGGCACTAGCTTCCCCCCATCCTCCCTCCCCTCTCCCTTCCACCCACCCCACCTTTCCACCTCTCCCCGCTTCCCCCCTCCCCTCGCCCCTGTCCCCACAACCCCCGCCCCACCCCGCCCGACCCCATCCCGTATGTGAATTCTTTAATTCTTGTTGCGGAGCCGCTACGAAGCTGAAACCTGGTCTATCTGGTATCCAGCCCACCCCACCCCGCCCCACCCACACCCAACAAACATTTGGTGCAATCGAACCGCTGCGCTGCTATGTTATCCATGGAAAAAAATTGACAACAAACAGGGGTTCGATAACACCAAATTTTCTGAAGGGCTTCCTTTCAGACATTTGGTGCTATCGAACCGCTGCGCTGCTGTGTTATCCGTTACAAACACTGGCAACAAAAAGGGGCGGTTCGATAGCACCAACTTTTCGGAAGGGTTTCCTTTCAGAAAATTTGGTGCTATCGAACCGCTGCGTTTTCCGACAGTGAGGACAGCGAAGGGCGGTTCGATAGCACCACATTTTCTGAATTTGGTGCTATCGAAAGGCTGTTTTCGGACAGTGAGGACAGCGGGGGCGGCCTTGTTTCCATGTGGTGACGAAAAAAGAGTGGTTTGATAGCACCAAATCTTCAGAAAAATGACTTCTGAAAATTTGGTGCTATCGAACCGCCTTGTTTCCCTGTAGTTATGAAGAAGAGAGCGGTTCGATAGTACCAAATTTTCAGAAAATAGCTTTTAAAACTTGCTATCGAACCGCCTTGAGCCGACTTGTTTTCTGTAGTTATAAAGCAGAGAGCGGTTCGCTAGCACCAAATTTTCAGGAAATAGGCTTCTGAAAATTTAGTGCGATCGAACCGCCTTGTTTTCTGTAGTTAGGAAGAAGAGAGTGGTTCGATAGCACCAAATTTTCCGAACATGTTTGCTATCGAACCGCCCTGTTTTCCCTAGTTATGAAGCAAAGAGCGGTTCGATAGCATCAAATTTTCAGAAATATGCTTTTGAAAATTTGGTGCGATCGATCCGCCTTGTTTTCTGCAGTTGTGAAGAAAAGAGCGGTTCGATAGCACCAAAGTTTCAGAACATAAACTTATGAAAATTTGGTGCTGTCGAACCATCTTGCTTTCATGCAGTGGTGAGAAAAGGAGCGGTTCGGTAGCACCAAGTCTTCAGAAAACTGGCTTCCGAAAATTTCGTTGTTTTTAATGTAGTTATGAAGAAAGAAGAGCGGATCGAAAGTTGTGCTGTGAGGATTGTCTTCATGTAGGCCGGGCGTAATGTAGTTTACACAAGAAAACAAAGCCAGGCTAACTGCAGGCTCGCTATTGCCCGAACCAATATAGGGGTTAGAGTTCAGGCTACCTGTACGCGAAGTTGTCAGGTTGCCATCAGGCTTCCGGCTAATGTGTTGGGGCTAGGACAACCGTCCATGATAGTCCTGCAGTTCTTTGCCTCCCACCTAGCAAGGACGAGGCTTGCAGTTGAGTTTCAAAGTTTACAATGCGGGCATTTTTGGGAGTGGGGGGGCACTATTGAGGGTAATTGCCAGAGTCGCCATTGGGACCAATATCAGAGCCAAGAGCCTCGCCAGTGGAGTGAATACAGAGGCCGATGTTGAGCTTGGGGAGTCAATGTCGGTAGTAGTGAAGAATGCCATGACCGTGAAAATGGGCAGGAATAGTGACACGACGGCTAATGTGGGTATTAGGAAACGTCATGTTAGGTCTGCTAGCATTTCTTC